TCTTCTCCCAAGTAAACAGTGACAGGACGAGAGGCAATGGCCTCAAGTTGCATCAGGGGAGGTTTAGATTGAATATTCGGAAAAATTTCTTTACTGAAAGAGCGGTCAGGCATTGGACCAGGCTGCCCAGGGAGTTGGTGGAGTCCCCATCCCTGGAGGGGTTCAGAAAACGTGTAGATGTGGCACTTCGGGATATGGTTTAGTAGGCAAGGTGGTGTTGGGTGGGTGGTTGGACTTGATGATCTCAGAGGTCCTCCAGCCTATGATTCTGTGATTCTAGATGGTGCAGTCTAGAGAGAGGAAACCATGGCTTGTTTGCTTGTACTCTGCCTATGTGGCTAGAGGGGACGCGGTTCCTTTCACCCAGGGTTATATTTTGGGAAGCTACTGTTTTATCAGGAGAATGAAAAGGTCTTGACATTGAGGCTTCCGAAGTCATTTTGGTTGCTTTGCTTTGGTTGTGTGTTGGAAACATTCCTCCTCCTTCACCTGAGTCAAGAAGTTTAATTTCTCTCAACAGAAGTGGAAAAGGTGCTCATCTTCTCTTGGCATCTCTTCCCGCCCTCTGCAAACCCTCCTGCCACCCCCCGAAATCTGTTGGGGTGTCAGACCCCTGACTACTACCCATGCTCTTTCTGCTTCCTTAATTTGGAAAATTAAAAATGAGATTTAGTGAATTTATGAAATCCTGCAGAACTTCCCCAAAGTACGTCTGTGTGGGAGCACCCGAACCACAGCAGGAAGGTTGGTGTGAAAGGGACAAAGTCCTGACCGGGGGAATTGAGGGCCCTGGAGAAGGTGCTCCAGGTTCGGGGTGGGGGTGAGAGGAGGGTTTGCAGAGGGCAGGAAGCGATGTGAAGAGAGGAAGGGGGAAAGGATGAGCGAAAAATAGAATTGAGCAAAAACCAGCAGAGCGATGGAGAGGAAGAGGAGCAAGATGTAACTTGGGGCTGCAGAGATTTTAGTTGCTTTGTTTCGGGTGTCTTAGGGCTGCCCTTGAGCAGGTGTCAAGGCCGTGCTGGCCATGTGAGATCGGGAGGCGGACTAAATCCCGGCTGTGCTCCGTGCTTCGGCGGCGGGGGCTTCGGGTGGCACCCGCCGGGCGCTGCTCC